AGATTCTGCATTTTTCTCCACTCCAGTATAAACACAGTTTGTACAGAGCCTTACTTATTAAATCACTAGCAGTGCAATTCTAAACAGAGTTATATCTTTCTAAATCCACTGAAGCTAATGGGATTAGCTTGGTTAACTCTGTTTAGGATTGCAGGGTAAATAAACTAGCAGCAACAGCCAGTCTACCACCTATGGGACTTCCCAGCTTTAGCGCTCCATCAAGCCTAATACTACCTCCAAAAGCTTCAGATGCTCCCAACATTTTATGCAGCACATAAAATAAACAGAATACTTTATTCCTGGCCACTGATTTCTAGTATCTGAAACTGTATGTTATGAATTCATGTACAAATGACATTTTGTGTGATTATGGGATACCAGCATATAAAGTCCCACAAGCATCAAAATACACTCCATGCACTTCGTAGAACGTGAAAGCAGATAGGCTTGGTTCAACTACTATGGTTTGTTTTTAGTGTCATCACTCTGTAACACCAGGATTCTGCTTACAGTCATTCAAATGCTGGTTTTATTGCCTTTGCTGTTTCCTTCACAGAGACCCAGTTGGTATCCTGACTTGAACTGTGACAAGACCAACACAGGGGAATAAGGCAAGATTAAACCACAATGTCTGTAGTCGTACTTCAGACAAAAATGTAATTAAGATTACTGTGGTTGACAGTTCATCTTTACACCATGTGATCCTGGTTTGATGTAAACCAACCACAGTTAATGGAGTGGCCAGTGACCAGATATTTGTAACCAAGGCTCTTTTTGTAGAAAAAGTCCAGCAGGAACTCATTAGCATAATAGGCCACACCCAACAGCAGAAACTCATTAGCATATTAGGCTGTTGAACGCACCGCGCAACATAGGCCACACCCTGACAGTGCAGCTCAGCATACTAGGCCACACCCCCATGTTACCAGAAGTGTGGTCATTGCCTCACACACAGCCACATTGTACCTGATGCACTCCCACACCAAATACTCTCCTCTAGGGCTACCATATTTTGACATATCTCCTGACTGACTACTTCAAACAAGTGATCAGTATGGCAGATCTCATTTTAAATACCCTACTATTTAAGCTGTGATCATTGCTACTCACAAGGAATATTCCTTATCTTCCAACCCCAAAATAGAACATTTTCATCCGTGTTTTAAGAGTTCAAAAGAGGAAAGCCACCTCCACACCACGCAGAGAGACATATTTACAGAGAAAGTCCTGGCCCTATTCTCATAAGAACATAAGAGAAGCCATGTTGGATCAGGCCAATGGCCCTTCAAGACCAACACTCTGTGTCACACAAGTCTCCTGGAAACTCAGCCTCTCACCAGTTTGATGCCAAGGCCATCAAACAAGTATGGTAACACGCACAGGGCAAGGCTTGTGGGTAAGAATGAAGGCAGTCTCTTTAGCTCTTAAATAATACAAAGCTTTATTTCACTATCAACATCTCTATTAGGTATACAGGCTACAGAAATGAGGGTTCAGATTCTAAGAAAGGAAATATAAACAGAGAAAGATTTCTAACCTAACTCGGAAAACTACAGTTACCTGGCATTTGTCCTCCCAACCCCACACTGGTCTGGAGAAAATGGGTGTACACTCTCTGGGTGTCATGCACAGATGTGTGTGCATGCTCAAAGGGAGAACACCTACTTTCCTAGCCTCCCCCCACATTGAAGGTCCTGGCCAATCTGGGCTCTGAAACTTGGGACTGCTGGAACCCACAAAGAAGTAGCAGCCAATGGTCAGCAGCTACTCACATCAGAAGAATTAATTATTTTCCTTGCAATATATAAAAACGTACTGATCCCAGAGTGATGGGATTTTCCTAGCCTGGCTGTCTCTACCAACACTAGTCCATCTCTAGGAATGTCAGCCCTTCCTAAGATGAAACAGTTTCCACAGCACTAACCAAAGCTAGTTTAAATGATGGTTTAGTGAGATGTCTGAACCAAGACACACAGTCCATTGACTTGAGAAAATTCCCACACTGAGATGACCATTTTTAACCAGTGATTTTTGGCTAATGAATGCAACTTTAAATGAATATCCCATATACTAGGTCTCCAAAAAGTTAAGAGCTCACCTTCTAGAAAAAAATATACTACTGATATATAAACATTTATCTACTAAAGACCTTTCTGAATGAAAAAATAATCAGTGGTGCAATCTAGACAAAAATTAAGCCTGACTAAACATGCTTTCTTGAGAATCCCACTGAAACCAAGTGAACCGCTGTAGTTTTAATATCAAGATGTAAACATATTAGTCTGTCAATGAAGTCAGTGGAACTCAAGCCAGTGAACTTCTTGCCAATTATGCAGAGTCTGACAGCAAATACGAAGATGCACAGTAAGCACCAAGTATACTGAAGCCATATTAGTATGTGGATATGGAAAAAAAAAGACAAGGAACCAGTTCTCTCTCATTTAGGAATCAAGATACTATGAGCAGTTTGTCTAGGTTTTGAGTGTTACAATGCTTTCTTTACGAATATAAATATGGAATAATTTAGATATTGGTCTACCTTTACATGCTGATGACTACACATACATTTAATTCTGTAATCATGCAACCCAATTTTTATTCATGCCATAGGGAATGTGACTCCACCTTCCCTGCTTCCCTCACAATGTTGGAGCTGGCTTTTCCAGTCACAATGCCATTCATATGTGTGACCAAACTAGATGGTTGCCTCAAGCCTACAAACATCTTTCTCTGAAGTCCTGCCATTAAAATATTTAGCTATAGGTAAACCGAATTACCATACTATTCTAAATGCAATGACAGACACAGTGCTCAAAGTTTATAAAAATATGGGTGACACACTAAATCTTATGCCAACGAAATGGTTTGCTCATGTAGATGACACTCAGCTCTATCTTGCCCTACCAGCAGATCCCAAGGAGCCTGAGAAAACTGAACAGGTGCCTTGAGGCAGTTTTGGAATGGCTGAGAGCTAATGAGCTGAAACTTAATCCCAACAAAATGGAGGTGCTACTGGTGGGGAGAAGGTCTGACATAGGAAATGGGTTATCACCTGTTCTGGAGGGTGCTGCACTCCTCCTAAAGGAACAGGTTTGCCATTTGGGGGTGTTCCTAGATCCATGTATCCTGCTGGATAAACAGGTGGCAGTGGTGGCCAGACTGTCTTTCACCAGGTTTGACTGGCAAACCAGCTGTGAGCCTTCTTGGGCCCTTGGCCGAGACACCAGGCTTTAATGCGCTGCCTGCTACCACCCCCTCCTCCTCCAGCCAGAGCATGTGGGGCTCCTGCATCTGCCATCAGGGCTGCTGGAAAGACCTCTTTGGCCCCACCTCCCTGATCCCAGCCCAGCAGCATCCCACTTGCAGGCAGCCTGGGAAAGGTGCTGGATGTGCATCTGTGCCCTTGCATGTGGGGAGTAATATTTTGAGAGATTGAATAATGCCATAGAACTAGCAGGAAATAAAGGTCTACAAAAGGCAATTAAAGTGGATTTTTGGAGACTGGTAGCGGTTAAAGACAGCTTGCGGTGCTCTGGATCATTACAGTTCCCCTCGCGGTTTAAACTTGCTGTTGAATTTGGGACTTCGACAGAGGAAGGTATGGGATTCTGTGCCTGCCTCAACATCCTGCTTTGCCCAAAGCCTATACCAGTTTCTTTAAGGTAGGGCTTGTTGGATTCACCTAGTTGATGCCACTTGGCCACCTGTCTTTGGCTGCTGCACCTGTTTCAACAGAATTCATGCTCCTGCTCATCAAAAGCTTCTGAAGTGTAGATAGATCAAGATGGGTAGCCCTGTTAGTTTTTCTGTAGCAGTAGAAAAGAGCAAGAGTCCAGTAGCACCTTATACTGTTGCACCTAGCCATGCTGACATTGTATTGTAGTCCAAGCACAGAATACTGTGAAGTTTATGCAGGCCTGAGCTACCAGAGTAATGGCCTTCTTGTGCAGACCACAGGACTCAGTTGCATGTAATTCTTGATCATCATTTGCCACATTCTCCTTTATTCCTACCTTCATTCCAACAAACACATTAATTACAGTTAGTTTTAACCAAAAGGATATCATAATATACAATAACTGTTTTAAACTATCTAGCTAGCACTAAAAATCATTTTAGAATTATTTCAGATTTACAACCAAGGTGTATAAACAGGCAAAGCCCTGTTTTGCTTGTAGATTAAAACAGAATTATGCAACACTTTCAAATAACTTGCTGCCAAGAGATTTGGATTTTATTCCTAATTCTGTCATTGATTCCCTGTGTAGTCAATGACTCATTAACGAGTCACTAAAACTGCCAGTTCTCAATCTACAAAAAAGGGTTACATGCCTTCCCAATGTATGATTTGTTAGGTTCAAATAACATGAGTCAACAGCAACCAGAGACTTTCCTTTGAAAGGTTCAGCTCTTGCAACAGCTACTGCAGGTGAAGATTACCTCTCCAGGGGACCTTAAAAATTTAAGAGCCGCTTGTAGGTCACAGGAACATGTTTATTCCTCCTATGCACAGATACTCCACTCAACTGCTTCAACTTTTGAGGCTGAATAAGAACATTTTTGTTTGAATGCTCAAGCATTTATCGTTTAAACTTTTTTAAACCAACCAACTAAAATGAACTACTACGAATCAGCGTTCCTTGGATCGCACCAAGAGAACTCTCACCTTAAATCCAGTCATTTCTGCATCCTAAACTGCCCCATCCGTAACAATAACAACAAAGTATATTTAAAATTGCACTTGGAAGATGCTACTTTCTACAACTCGCCCGGCAACCCAAGCCATTGTAACTAACCCACTCCTAGTACGTTCAAAACCACTAATATTATTTCGAACTGTCAAAGTTATTAAGCTTTCATTCCTCCCACCCTCAGTCCCGTAACCACAGAAATAACCCTCACCATACACTCTTCTGACTTCAAGCCAATGGTGAGCGGCCACCCACTTCCCCGTGCGGCCCAATTCTCCTCTCTGGACAAGGGAGACATATCTGACACACCTTGCGTTGGGTACTGGTATCATGCTTATCGTTTCTGAAGACCTCCGCGTTCTGGTGCCGCTGGGGCCGCGTGCGAGCCACGTTCCCCCTCTGCGAGCTCATTCTTCACATACAAACGCACGCACTCCCACCCGGAAGTAAACCTTCAGAGAGCGGCTACTCTTCGCTCTCCTATCATCGGATTGGCTGAGGCGCCACAAGGAAACCGAGCATTCTCCAGGATTATTGGTGGCTGCAGTGAGCAAAGGGTGTCCCCGGATTGGTGGGTTTCTCAAGAGCGGCCGGTCAGTGAGGCAGAAGCCCCGCCTCTTCGCCTCCCTCGGTTGCTTTCTGTCGCCCTGGCTCTCTCTTCACGAATCCAGTTGCTCGGGTGTACGGGCGGTCTGGCAGGAGGCAGGCCGGGGCGGCCGGCCACAGTCGCACGACCTCGCCCTTCGTCGTTGTCGGGCTTCTTGCCTCGTTCTCGGTCCGTTTTCGGAGCTTGCCGCGAGTGGAGCGTTCTTCCGCCGTTGCCACAGGCACCGGCCAAGGCGGTTGCCCAGCGCAAAGCGACTGCTGCCCAAGCATTCGAGCGGCCGTTTGCGAGGCGTGAGAGGGAAGCCCTTGTGTGCGTTCCTTCTGTGAGCGAGAAAGCGGGCCGCCGCCGCCGCCCGACCAGGCAGTTGGCCGCGCGCTCTTCAAGGAGCGCAGGGTAAGAGGTGAGTGAGCGGGACCGTCTCCTCCTTGGCCGGCGACGAAGTGGTGGCTCTTGACAGAGCAGTCCTTGCTTGTAGAGGGCTGGGCCTGAGGCGGGACGGAGGGAACCTGCGCCGGTCTCTCCTCTGTGGAACGGAGGGAGCTGGAGTAGGATTCGGATCCCGCCGGCTCCTACCTGGAGCCGCCCTGAGCAAGCTCGTCCTTCAGGGATAGGCGGCCTTGGGCTTCGGTGCGCGCGCATCCTTCTCTCCTTTCCTCCTCCCCCCTCCCTTTTTTTAATTGAGACCCTCGAGTTCAGCCCTCTGCAGTATGCGAGCCTCGCCTTGCTGATTCTCGACGGCCTAGTCTCGGCGACCAGCAAGGTAAGGGAGAGCCCGTCCCTCCTCGAAGGCGGGTAGAGGGGCTGGCTGGCTGGCTCACTGGTCGAGGGGGTTGGGCGGTGTGGTACCACTGCAATAGATGAGACCGGTTGGGTTTGTGCAGGGATACTCAGATCAGTGGTAACGACTGCGCTCATCTCGCACGCTTTGGAAAGCGGCGAAGGAAGGTGGGGGGTGGATCGGGTGATCTACGATGAGGAAAGGGTGCTACGGTAGAAACGTTCCTCGCCAAGGGAGGAGGACGTTACAGTGCAATCAGTACCTCATTTGTATGTGAGGGAGCTATTTCTCCTGGGTATAAAAGCGTACTGTTCCGAGGGAATAGGCGAAGCCAAGCAGCGCAGGCTTTATTTTTAAACAAAGCTGCTCTCTCTTTCTCCCCACCCCTTTCCCCTTCGCCACCGTATCCGTTTCTAGCCCTGTTGAATACTGAGCCTTGTAGAAAGTGTAAACAAAATTTTGGCTTAGAATTGTTTTGTAGGGTGGGACACTTGTAAATAATTGCTTCTAGCTTGCCTGACTTGTCAGTTAAATGAGTAGGAAAACATTGTGTTTCTGGTTGAGTTTCCAAAGCTTATCCTAAGCTTCAGTCTTGTGATTGTGGGAAGAGGTACCAGTTTGAGATGGTGAAATATGCACAATGCAGGATTTCAGTAGCTATGAATGGGCAGCTTGTTGTGATTTTTTTTTCTTTTTCTACAGAAAATGCTATATTGTGGTGGTTTGGCATGTGTAAATATTGACACAATCTGATTCAGGTTACAGGTTGAGACTCATCGCTGCTCTTTTTGCTTGTTAGTAACTTTTCCTTTTAAACATAAATTTATTTGGAATGGACCAATTGCTGATATAATGCTCAGCTTGATGCTTTGGAAAGCATATCATAAACATTGTCTAATACTATTTGCAGTTAATTTGTCCAGGGTCATACTGCTCAGTATTTTTTAAAATACAGTCTTTAGCTTATGAAGAAACAGAAAAGCGAACTCACTCATTTTCCTCTGTAGATTTGAAGATACTAGTTTAAACTACATGATGCAGTGATTTAGCATTTGCATCCATGGCTTGTCAACTGAGTAATTTTTTTAAAATCCCTGACTTGTGTGCATGCTCATATTCGGGTGTACTCCATTGTAATTAGCTGGCTTCAGTGAATCCTGGTCATGTGATACATGACTTTATGGTGGTTGGGAGCCACTGGTCTGGAAAGGACTTCATGTAGTTTTCTAGAGAATTTGAATGTCCACAGAAGGCACATCTCCAAGTCTGACAAAATTACGATATAATCCTATGGACATTTGCAGTGTCTTGATATGCATACTTTAATTAAAGCAAAACTTCTAATTTGTATCTCTTGCTTTGAAACTGCCTTAAGTCTTCATTTAGGATGTCCCCACCAGCTCCTGTAGTCAATCTGTGGTCTCTGGGCTCCAGCTGTCCATTTGTTGATTGTTAGTGACTTTCAAAAGAAACCTGTTTAAGGAAACAGTGTTGTCTGTAATTAACCAATATGGATATTAATATTTATTGAGTAGACAACTTAATGAGAATCTCCATGTGGCAAATTCTGCTGCAAGATTATTTTCCTTGGATGTAATGAAGGATATGTTTTCCATTGGTGTCTTTAATATGTATGAAAAAAATACAGCATCAGAAAATCTTCTCATGTGTATTCTGCAAATGTTATTTAGTAGGGAAAATTTTCGTTTTAACTGGTCATAAGGTAAAATGTCATGAGAACCCCTAGTGTAACTGAGGTAAAACTGAGGTAAAACAAAGACTGATGTGTTCATTTATGGAACTTTGTGTAAAATGTGGCTTTCCTTAGCACATACTGCCTTGTAATTCTACTGGTATTAAGCAATACAGGTGTAAAGAACATTACTGCAGTTGAGTGATATCAGTTGGGAAAGAAGTGTCACTTTTTCCTCAATGAGTGATCTTGTTCAGTATCCTGTTACCATACTGGTTCTGAAATTAATGGAAGAGTACAGAGAGAAGTGTTGGTTCCCAAAGCTGCTTATAGTAGACCTCCCACTTTGAAAAAACTGCTATGTCATTTGCATTGGGTGGCATTAGGTTGGTGAGGACCACTTTCTCACTGTCATCCTATTTCCCACCTTAGTCTGTGTATACTTACTATGTCTCCGGAACTCCACTTGTCATTTTTAATCCTTCAGTTTGCTATTAGGCCTTAGGAAGAGGGACACAGCAGAATGAAGTGAAGCATAAACGCAGTTTGCATTCTTCTTATTTAAAAGTTGTACTTACTAGAACCATTTTATGTATACATTGCTATTAGCTGGCATCCTTTATAGTGACTGGAAGTCTGCCTGTGTAGAATAATCTGGAAAAGAGTTTGCATATTCTCTGAATCTAAATATCCACTGAAGACACATCTCCAACTTCAGTATAATCTTATAGATACTTATTTGCTCATTAAAATACACTTCAGATGCACAAAACTGTGTTGGAAAACTGACCTATGAAATATTCCCTTACTCCTTTCTCCTGCAATAGAAAATACAATAATTAGTTACTTTAGTTAGTTTATTCAATTTATATCCCACCCTACCCTGCAAGTGGACTCAGAGCAGTTTACAACATTTATAAAACAATAAATAATAACCTGACACTAAATAATTCAGAAAACCTCAACAATTCAAGTTGGCAGCATAAGAATGGCATTAGATTTTAGTCATAAAGGCAGCTTCAGTTGTTCTACTTCACTGGTTACAGGATTGTTGGCGTGATCAAAACTAAGATTGCTATTCATAATACCACCACAATGATAAGAACATAAATAGAGGCTGTTTCATCGAACCAGTAGTCCATTGTACTGTTTCACACAGTGGCCAACCAGTTGCCCTGGAGGGCCAAACAAATCGCATAGAAGTTGTGGTCCTCTCCTACTGGTGTCTTCCAGTTCTGGTGTTCAGAGGTTTGCTGCATCTGTGTATGAAGGCTCCCTTCAGTCATCATGGCTGCCACTGATGGTCCTCTCCTCCAAGAATTTGTCCATTTGAAGCCATCACTGTGTCCCCTGGCAGTGAATTCCACCCTTGTCTATCATGAACCTGTTTCCCAGCAACTTAACGAGGGGGGGGGGGGAGGACTGTGCTATGTAGGTTTGGCACATGTCACCCGTGGGGGGGGGGGATCTTGATTCCTACAGTAATCTGTTAGTCTAGGTTTTGTGGTGTCTGAGTACCTGTCAGGCTGATTGGAAACAAATTCTACAGGTTATATTTGAATAAAAGTATGGATTAGGTATAATGTTGCATATCCCTAATTAAAATGTCTTAACTTTTATATAATGGTTCTGCTAATGTGATCCATTATGCCATTTGCCCTTTTTTACAACAGGATCATATCCTGGTCTGTTTAGGTTATGATATGTTAGAAGTTTCAGAGGTGTTTTCATAGTAATGTGGTTTAGTGTAAGCTTTCTAAGTTCTTGAGCCCTGGTGCTGCTAGACTCCTCCTCCCCCACGTTGCACTTATGAGATATTGGAATTAAAATATAACCAGATCTTTCTAATCCCTATTGAAGCCAAGCAGCAACTCTTCCTGAGTTGTGAGCGAGCGATTTGGCTACTGCATAAAATTAGTTTGCTCTGGAGCCATCCTTCCTGAGCTAAGACAAAAAAAACCATGTGAGCCGGAGGCTAAAAAACTGTGAGCTAGCTCAAACTAACTCAGCTTAGGGGGAACACTGGCTGCATAAGGAGTCCTGAGTATCAGAGACCAAGGGCCAAGTCATTGAAATAAGGAAAAATCATGCAACCTTCGGTCCGCAAGTGTGCCACTACCACAGTGACACATTTCGTGAAAACATTGGCTGGGCTGAATGGCAAGGCAGTGTGTTGGAAAATGTGGGAACCTTGCCTAAAGTGAAGGTACTTCCTGTCAGGAGGGTCAATGGAGACAGGGAAGTAAGCATCTCTCAGATCTAAATGGCAAACCACATGTCTTTGGAAAGGAATTTCAGAATTGACAATAAAGAGACCATTCTGAACTTCCTCACAACCAAAAACTCATTTAATGATCTTAAATCCAAAATAGGCCTTTAGCCACCATCTTGTTTTTTTTCCACAAGGAAAAAATGGGAATATAAACCTTGAGTAATGAGACCCACAGGAACCTCCTCCACCACTCCCTTGCACAATAATTCAGACAACTGAGGAGTCAGCTCAGGGAATGGGTTATCATAAGCCATAGAACCAGGGATAAGAGGTAGAGAAGAACAGAATTCTAACTTATAACCATGTGCAACAATTGATAAAATCCAGTTATCCGTACATATAGAATTCTACTGTACAAAACATTCAGCTAAACATTCAGTAAAACACAACCCACCACTGGGTTCCAAGGTCAATAGTCAAAATTTTGAGGCCTGTTGTTGTTGTTGCCCAGTGTCCTTCTTGTGGATCACCCCTGCGTCTGCCATCTGAAGGGCTCTGGTACTGACACATAGGAGGATACATGTAAGGTTGTGGAGCCTGGGGCCTATGGGGTTTGTAGAAGGCAAGAGTAAAGGGTTGTTGCCTTGGAGTATAATGCTGTGTCTGCTGTGGGGACACAGAGAACGAGCTGTTTGCTTGCTCTTTATATCAGACAAGAATTCATCAGTATTCTGTGTGATGAGCAATGTATACTCGAATGGCAGTTCGTCAACTCTGGCCTGGATATCCAAAGGAAAAGTTGGTGTTATGCAACCAAGAGTGGCATAGGGTGCTGGCAGACACCTTTGGAGTTCTTACCAGCACTTATTTGCTGTTTAGAAAGACAGCACACTTCAGTTTGAATCACCTTAGTGAGGCCCTTAGTCTCCTTCTGGAAGCATGTCTATGTATTTATCCAAGCTCTGCCATAAAAACAGCTGGTATCGCCCCATTATGGTCTCATAATTTTCGATTCTAAAATTCAAGGCTGATGAGGAGTAGACAAAAATGTGTGAGCCAGAGGCTAAAAAACTGTGAGCTAGCTCACACTAACTCATCTTAGGGGGAACACTGCTCATGACCTGAGGCTAGATGTGGGGGTGAAGTCCTTGGAACAGGTGGAATTGGAACAGTTACAGGTAAGTGCAGCCTTGTTTTCGGAACAGTTACAGGTAAGTGCAACCTTGTTTTCCTTGGAGCTACATACTGCACTTCAGGCATCTATGCCTCCCCAGTGAAGACCTGCTGCCTGATTTGAAAACAGCTTAGCAGTTTAGTTATTCCATTTTCATGTATAACATATATTGCATCTTTATGGATTTTAGCTTGGCAGGATCACTTTGTTGTATACGATTCTGTTTGAAAAGGTGTGTAGTTCCTTCCAGGTATTGGCCATCTTTGGATCTGATGAACTATGATTTGCATCTTTTCATTCCAGGAGAGTCTCTGAGGTTCTCTGCCTGTTACCTTATCCTATGTGGACAGTGAACTATTAATAACTTTCAGTATAGGGAAGATCAGTTAGTAACTCACCTAAGTAGTTTAATCTTGGCAGGTTTTCTTAGGGTGCAAGGAACAGCAATGTAAAACCTAAAGCCACACAACTTGCACAAAGTTCTTTTCTTTAGTACTTCAGCTTTTTCAAAAGCATATTTAGAATTTGAACTGTTTTAACAGTTTTCAGTGAGCTTTTATAGTGGTTAAAATATAGGCTAGGATGGAGCCATGATTGTTGTGGGTACAAAATGGGGGGGGGGATCTACATTGCACTGATGTCTGATCCTTGGAGAAGGATAGAAGTTTAATTTCTTTTACAGCCAGTAGGAGTTTTATTTTTAAAGTAGTTTACTTTATGTGGTAAGCTGATGTTAACTTTTATCATCAACACAGGGGTGACCATTTAGGAAAAATGCATTTTATCAGCAGTTTTACTTGCATTATAAAGTGATTAGATGGACATAGCCATTTTTCTGAAATAATCTAATCTTCCCCTGCAAAACATAACTTTGTTCTTGACACATCATTTTAGAGGATCATTCCTGGATTGTGTTGGGTTAGATCCAAAGGTGCTCTTGTGCAAGCAGAATGACTTCTGCTTATGCAGTGTGTGCAGGGGTGATTTCTAGGGTACTTCCCACTCAAAATGGAGCCCCGATCTTGCTGCATCCTCCAGTGTTACCAAGATCGCTCTAACCCTTGGGAGAAACTTTTAGATGGCAGTCCTATTTTAGTTCAATATACCATTGAGAGGGAAAAAATCACTTCTATTCTTTGCCTAGTGCAACTTACTTGAATAGAAGCATGTTAGCTACTTGAGTCCTGGTGTTCATGTGCAGTCTTTTTAGTTGCGGTGCAGACATTTCCTTTGTACTTTTATGCAAAAAATTCTTTTGAGCCATCTTGTTTTTCGTGGAGCTGTTGCCCTGTGTCCTGCTATTTGCACACCAGAAGTGTGGCTTCCCATCCTTTATTTATGTTTTGAACTTTGGGGTTATGGAACACAAACTGAATTAAATAACAAGATAAGGTTATTGTATTTCTTTTTCAGAATAGTATATTAGAATACTGAATGTTATACATGGAATATTGGATTGTTTGGCTGACATGCACTGCTTCCACCTCAAAAGAGAAGGTAAAAATGCTGTTAAGTGACCTCTACACTCTGAATGGAGAGTCTCAAATTTATCTTGACTTATTTATTGTTTTACAACTAGTCTTTAAAGCTAGTCTCAGTGAGGTTGATAAAAGGGAACACAGGCTGTGGCAAATAAAATGCAAGTATGTGATCATGCAGGCAAAAAGGAAATATGAGGAGCATATAACAAAAAACAAAAAGACCAACAATAAAACTTTCTTCAAATACATTAGAAGCAGGAAACCAGCCAGGGAGGCAGTGGGGCCCTTGGATGACCAAGGGGTAAAAGGAGTACTGAAGGATGATATGGAAATGGCTGAGAAGCTGAATGCATTTTTTGCCTCTTTCTTCACTGTGGAAGATGAGAAGTGCTTGCCCACTCCAGAACAGCTGGTTTCAGAAGGGGTGCTGAAAGACCTGAGTCAGATAGGGGGGGCGAGAGAGGAGGTCCTACAACTGATAGACAACTTAAAAACTGATAAATCACCAGCCCCGGATGGCATACATCCGAGACTTCTGAAAGAATTCAGATGTAAACTTGCGGATCTTCTGACAAAAATATGTAATCTTTCATTAAAATCTGCCACCATTCCTGAAGACTGGAAGATAGCTAATGTCACCCCCATCTTTAAAAAGGGTTCCAGAGGAGATCCGGGAAATTACAGGCCAGTCAGTCTGACGTCGATACCGGGTAAATTGGTGGAAACCATTATTAAGGAAAGAATTAGTAGGCACATAGATGAACAAAACCTATTGAGGCAGACTCAACATGGGTTCTGTAAGGGAAGATCTTGTCTCACTAACCTATTAGTGTTCTTTGAGGGGGTGAACAAACATGTGGACAAGGGGGATCCAATAGATATTGTTTACCTTGACTTCCAGAAAGCTTTTGATAAAGTTCCTCATCAAAGGCTCCTAAGTAAGCTCAAAAATCATGGGATAAAAGGACAAGTCCTTTTATGGATCAAAAACTGGCTAATTAATAGAAAACAGAGAGTGAGTATAAATGGGCAATTTTCTCAGTGGAGGGTGGTAAGCAGTGGGGTACCGCAGGGATCAGTACTTGGTCCACTGCTTTTTAACTTGTTCATTAATGATTTGGAGATGGGAGTAAGCAGTGAAGTGGCTAAATTTGCGGATGATACAAAGTTGTTCAAGGTGGTGAAAACCAGTGAGGATTGTGAGGCACTCCAAAGGGATCTGTCAAAGATGGGCGAGTGGGCGTCAACATGGCAAATGGGGTTCAATGTGGCCAAGTGCAAGGTGATGCACATTGGAGCCAAAAATCCTAAATATAAATACACATTGATGGGGTCTGAACTGGCAGAGACTGAGCAAGAGAGAGATCTTGGAGTTGTAGTGGATAACTCACTGAAAATGTCGAGACAGTGTGTGACTGCAATAAAGAAGGCCAATGCTATGCTGGGGATTATTAGGAAGGGTATTGAAAACAGATCAGCCAATATAATAATGCCCCTATATAAATCAATGGTGAGACCTCATTTGGAATACTGTGTGCAGTTCTGGGCACCACACCTTAAAAAGGATATTATAGCTTTGGAAAAAGTGCAGAAAAGGGCAACTCGAATGATAAAAGGGTTGGAACACTTTCCCTATGAGGAAAGGTTAAAGCGCTTAGGGCTCTTTAGCTTGGAGAAAAGACGACTGAGGGGTGACATGATCGAGGTTTATAAGATTATGCATGGGAAAGAGCAGGTAAAGAAAGAGGTACTTTTCTCCCTTTCTCACAATACAAGAACTCGTGGGCACTCCATGAAACTGCAGAGCGGTCGGGTTAGAACGGATAAAAGGAAGTACTTCTTCACCCAAAGAGTGATTAACACATGGAATTCACTGCCACAGGAAGTGGTGGGTGCTACAAGCATGGACGGCTTCAAAAGGGAATTAGATAAGCATATGGAGCAGAGGTCCATCAGTGGCTATTAGCCACAAGGTATAGCTAGGGGCTCTGGGGCAAGTGATGCTCTGTCTTCTTGGTGCTTGGGGGGGGGGTCAACAGTGGGAGGGCTTCTAATGTCCTGGCCCCACTGCTGGACCTCCTGATGGCACTGGTATTTCTGGCCACTGTGTGACACAGAGTGTTGGACTGGATGGGCCTTTGGCCTGATCCAACATTGGCGTCTCTTATGTTCTTATGTTCTTAAAAAGGGAAGACATTGAGACCTTTTTTTCTTGATCCATTGACATGAACAAATATGAAGAGATGCATTATTCTATTGGGAAGAAAGCCTTATAGGGAAGTAACATTGAATAACTAGCTGGTTATTGATCTGCTGAATGAAAATGCTGCCTTGAATAAGAGCATCTCAACATTTAACCATAATGAAAACCTTGCTTATGAGTATCAGATGATAATATTTGAAGATTTTTTTTAAAAAAATGTGCTGAGCTACTGGATGCTGCTATTGGTTGAAAAGAGATGGCATGTAGGTATGCAAGCCAGGGTTATATATGTACCCTCTCTTTTCTGCCCCAGTGGGGACCCCAAGCAACTAATGTCATTCTCCTCTCCTCCATTTTTATCCTCACTACAACCTTGAGAGGGAGGTTTCTATGGCACAGTGGGGATTTGAACCTGGATCTCCCAGATTCAAGCCTAACACTTTATCCACTATATTATACTGACCTGAGGGGAAACTACTGACCCTTCCCTAATGTATTGAATACTCTTGGTAAGGGCTGAGGGTATCCAAAATCTCCAAGTGCCTTTTGCTTGTTCCAGGGGGCATTTGATTGAGATTCGAAGTGTTTTAATGAAAATCTACATTTTTGTGATGGTGTTGTGGAGAAATGGCTTTGCTCCTAGATACTTTAAAAGTATTTTATGTTTCTTATATTTTATCTTATATTGTATACCACCTTTTTGTACCAGATCTGTTTCCTCAAACTCAGGTTTTCCCATAAAATGTATGTATTTTTCAGCATAAGTTGTGCATGAATAAATCAGTATGCCTGATTGGTATCAGCTATGCTTTGTTTAAAGGATTAAGTGATCCTGTGTGAAGGGAAATAAAAACTAGAAAAGGATGATATGGGTGGTGAGGTGGCCTGAGGGACTTGTTTTTAGGATGGTTAAATACACAAAAAAGGGAAAAGCCCAGTAGCACCTTTAAGACTAACCTTTTGAGAAACACAGCTGTCTTCAGCAGAATTACAATTAATTTTGTTAGTCTTAAAGGTGCTACTGGGCTTTTTACTATTTTGCAGCAACGGACTAACACGACTAACTCCTCTGGATCTATGACAAAAAAGTGAAACACCTGGATCAGAGGTTGTGACAGCAGGGTATCAGGCAAGGTGACAAGACAAAGCCAAAATGGAACTCTGCTTCAGTTCAAAAGTTGGAGCAGAAGATTAGGAATCTTTACCGGACACAGCAAGGACCTGGAGAGCAAGAATCCTTGTAGCAGGGAGCTGTCCAGGGCAAAACACAAGCTGGTTTTGTAAGAGATATTAAACAGATAAAAGATTAACCTCAGTTGGAGGATAATAGAAGGAGATGCTGCTGCTGCTTTAACTCAGTAGTCCTATTTAAGACCCTGATCTTGCCAAGACCTAGAGAGTTGTGTCTCCCTCCTGCATGTACCTGGAGCATGAAAAGCCTCAGGCTGCCATGCACGTACCTCTCTGCCTGGTTCAGGCATCAGCTCTGCCTCCTTTGGTCTTGGGGGAGACTGGGAGGAATGAGAGATGGAAGGCTCCTGATCTGCCCTATCTCTATCAGTGGAATGGGAGCTGGCTGTAGTAGCCAGGATAAGGGGGTCTTTCCCTGGAAATTCTGGAATTCCTCTGCCATTGAGGATAGACTGAGGAGGGTTCTGACACTTACTTTTTGGCCATCATTCTCCCTTAGACTATCCGTATTACAATGCTAAAGGCACAGCAGAAGCAATGACAGGCATATTTTTCCTTTTCATGCTTTCTTAAAAATAAAGATTAATGCCCTGTGTCAGATTAACTGCCTAGCCCACAGTTCCCCACCTTCCAAACCTTTCCTTCGCCATTTTTTCTTGCCTATATATCTATATGTGTGTGCGCGTATATATTAATGTGTGTGTGTGTACACAGACCTTTTCTAGCTCTACATGAGGCTTTACCCCAGTCCTTACCCTTGATTCTTTTTAAAGCCTGGTCTACATATGCAGCAGTATGACGTGGTAAATGAGGTATTGCTGAGGTGGTAGAATGGGTTGTACCACTTCAGACTGCAAGTGGGGGATTACTTTTTTCAGTCTCCACTGTGAGTAGAAAGCTAGTGTGGCCTCATTTGGAATAGTGTGTACAGTAATAATCACTGTATTTCAAAAAAAGACATTGCAGATCCGAAAAAAGTACAGAGGAGGATGACCAAGATTATGAGGGAATTGGAGCACCTTCCCTATGAGGAAAAGCTGAAGAGTCTGGGCCTTTTAGTTTAGAAAAGAGACAACTTAAGGGGGGGACATGATAGAGGTTTATAAAGTTATGTGTGGGATGGGGAGAGAGCAGACAAAGAGAAATTTTTCTCCCTCCCAAAATACTAGAACTTGAGGGCATCCAATGAAGCTGATGGGCCCTAGATTCAGGACAAAGAAAATACTTCTTTACACAGAGAGTGATTAGAATCACTGCTAGATGATGTGGTGATGGCCACAGGAATAAACAGCTTTAAAAGAGAATTAGATAAACCTGTCCTCCATGAATCTATCAGTGGCACTAAACCCCTGAATCCCAGAACCAGGAGGCAACATCATGGGAAGATCTCAGTCTCTATACCCTGTTGTTGGCCCTCCAGAGGATCTGGTTGGCTAGTGTGTGAGACAGAGTTGTCGAACTCATTTGTTACAACAGCTGGATCTGACATAAATGTCACTTTGTCGATCCAGGCCATGTGTGCCATAAAATGTAATGCCAGATATGGGAGATATGAAAAGGACACAGGCAATGCTCCCTCTAAGCTGTGGAGTCTTGTGAGCAAAAATTCTACTTTGGGAGCTACTGGCATTAAAGATATAAGTGAGCAATTTGGCTGCTGCATAAATTAGTTTGCTCTGGAGCCATCCTTCCTGAGCTAGGACAAAAATGTGTGAGCCGGAGGCTAAAAAACTGTGAGCTAGCTCACACTAACTCAGCTTAGAGAGAATACAGGACACAGGCAAACCCAATTAACGATATCATTTTTACTCAAAATACAAACATGCTTTAAATATTAACACTCTTACAGTATTTCTTTAAAGTATCTCCCTGATGCACACCCTGCCACTTCCACTGCCTATTACTCATTAGCACTGGGACAGGATACAGGGACATAATGCATGGCCTCTATCATCTGGCAGTAAAGGTAATGACCAGTTGCTTGCGGGCTAGATAAGAGCCCTGGACGGGCCAGTTCCAACCCATTGGCCGTACTGTTGTTCTGATCCAGCAGGGCTCTTCTTATGTAGTGTAATGTGAACAGCTAGATCTGTTCATTTTCAATAGCACAGCAATTTAAATTTCTGCCTGATGTAAACTCTACATCACCAGTGTTTCTTGGGGTCTAGCACTGAATGTGAATATCTTCGAACAATCTCTGTATAGACTTGCTGTTTCTTGGGCAATTTGTTGCAGCTTTGTGTAAAGCAAATTATAAATATCACAAATTTCATGAGTATATAAACCTGAGCCTTTCATATGCTTTTTTGAAGTCAGTGCTAATATACTATGTACATAGTTTGAAAGATCAATCTGGAGGTAATACATTTTTAAAATATAAAGCTATTTGGTATTTCAGCATTGTGAAAAAAATTCTGAGATGTAACAAATTAAAAATGGCACTGCCGACTATTTATAAAGGTACTACATTTCTACTGATAAAGATGGACATTGTATTATCTGTCCTATGTTTTAATCACAGGGGGAGGTATTGTGCTTTTAACTTGTGGTTTTAATTTTTTTTAATGTCATTTTGTAAAGCTTTTTAAAACTTTCCGCTGCCTTGGTGGCCCTGATGGGGCAGAAAGGCAGGGTTACAAATATTGTAAATAAATATAAATATGCCAAATCAACTTTTGATCAAATCAGTTTTAATATATATTTATAGGTGCTTAAATGACACTTTTGTTACTGTCCATGGCGTTTTCTTGGCAAAGATACTGGAGTGGGTTGCCATTTCCTTCTCCAGTGGATCGCGTTTTGTCTGAGTTCTCCGCTGTGGCCTGTCAGTCCTGAGTGGCCCTCCATGGTATAGCCCACAACCCCATCAAACCACGCAAGCCCCCTCGTCATGACAAGGCAGCGATCCATGAGATCATGAAGAGTTGGACTCAACTGTGTGACTGAACAACTAATAACACTTTGTTTAGGCATTAAAATCCAGAACGCTTATAAGTTGTACAAAAATGTATGTAATCCTTATTCTGAAACCCATGTTAAAAGAATGTTTGTGGGAATTCTTCCAGTAGCTGATTTTTTTTCCTTCTTGTTTCAGATTAGAAGATGAATAATCTTTCATTTAGTGAACTCTGCTGCCTATTCTGCTGTCCACCATGTCCAGGCAAAATTGCTTCCAAACTGGCATTTTTACCCCCAGATCCCACATATACATTGATGTGTGATGAAAGTGGGAGTCGCTGGACTCTACATCTTTCTGATCGTGCAGACTGGCAATACTCTTCTAGAGAAAAAGATGCCATTGAATGTTTCATGACTAGAACCAGCAAAGGTAACAGGATTGCCTGTATGTTCGTGCGTTGTTCTCCTAACGCCAAGTATACCTTGCTTTTCTCACATGGAAATGCTGTTGACTTAGGTCAGATGAGCAGCTTTTACATAGGACTTGGTTCACGGATTAATTGCAACATATTTTCATATGATTATTCTGGATATGGAGCAAGTTCTGGAAAACCAACAGAGAAGAATCTGTATGCTGACATCGATGCTGCTTGGGTAGCTCTTAGGACAAGGTAAATAGACACAACTTATTGTAGAATATTTACACTAAATTTGGAAAGTTTTTTTTCCTTAGAAATTATCAATTTAATTTTGTAAGTGTTCTCCCCTGTACCCCCAAGGCAGAGAAAAGAAATCACTACTGATTCAAATTAGTATGGCAAGCAAAATTAGTAATTTGTTCTTATGGCAATAGTTATCAAAGTGAATAGGTTAATTACTGATTTTATTCTGTAAAATCACTAATTCAGCAGCTAGGAGAGCCAAATTAGTAGTTTAAGACTGCTGTCTTACTTGGAGGCGAGTTTAACACACTGGGATTTAACATGCACAATACTGTACCATGAGACTTCCTGTTGAAATTATTTAGTTATGTTGAGTCATATGTTCAGGAGAAGACACACTGCAGTCCTGGAAGGTTGTTGGTAAAAAGAGATTAGGGATTGAATGTTGCCACACATTAGAAAATGCCTTCATATGTAAAGCCATCAAATACATGAGTTCCTACTTTGTTTTGTCTCTGATGTGCATAGTTGTTCATGTGCAGGGACCTTTTTAAAATGGGAGAAACTGTTTTGAACCTGTGAAGCAGCCTCTGCATTGCCAAAAGACAGCCAGTGTACTCCATCTGGTTTGAAGCGAAATGGTTACTAAATATAAGGTTTCTTGCTTCCTTTTCTTCTGTTTTGTTAATTTCTCTATACCCAAATATGCCCACCTTCTACTACCTTTTCTCTGCTGTCCTGATGCCTTCCATTTTAATTGGAAGTTATTGTGGCTGCTTCTCACTTCAAGACTGGAAGAGGCAGTTGTGCCCAGGTAGTTTTTCTTGCCAATGAATGAGCATCACATTGATGATGGCTGTATTTGCATCTCTCAAAGCTCCATTTAAAATGAATGTTAGCTCAGAGTCTGACAACTCTAAGAGAGGGATGCTTTTCATGAAACAGTTAAGAAAAGCTGTTCTTGAAGTGGCTTTTTGGCCCTTACTTAAAGGAGACACATATTTAGGTTAGCAGAGGCTAGTCTCTGTGCTAACATGTAAAGTTAATTTCTGCATTCATCATCAGCAGTTGAATTATTAAGACCTTTTTGTTTCCAAGTATTTATCCTGTACAGTATTTCAACATAATTGTAGGTGCTTGGTTTAGTTCTCCAGTGTCCACTTTTTCCACTTAATGGAAAAATTCTTAACTCTTGCTTATATTCAGATTAATCAATGAAAACCGAATCAGTGTTTTATCTTGTTTCTAGAAATCTGCATACAGTTATGCATTTTATGATGTTTTGTTAAGGTTTGTGGATCTTTTTGTATTAAAATGTGGGCCAGAAATTGGATGTGAGGAGATTGGAAAATATAGCAGCATAGCAGAAGTCATGAAATGTATCCTATGGATTTGTTAACTTCACTGAGTACAAAATCACCCTCACACATGGATGCATACAAACGTTCCTGGAAGTTGTACTCAGTTATTATTTTATTCATGGTGTATTTAGTGCAACCTGTTCCAGACACTTAAAGACTTACTTTAATAATAATGAAAGCCAGTTTTTTTTATTGTTGTGAGTAATAAATGTACGAATAGCAGATAAATGGGATTAGCAAAATGATGGTTTTGCTAGAAGCAAGTCCAATTATAGTATGGTTTTGTTTCTGTTTTTTCCTGGCATTAGTAAGGGGAATCTGTAACTGAGAATGAAATACAAATAGACAGAGGAAGTTCAGTTTTATAAGTTCTCAAGGATAGCTTTAGTGTAAAATGAGTTAGAAAACTAGAATGACACAGATATAACTGAAGAGCTGCAGTATTGACAATAGCTACTTGTATAGCTCAAAAATTACAAGACTTTGGAGGGGGGAGCCTTGTTACTACCTTGCTTTTTCCAACAGTCCATTTGTCTATTCCTTCAAGGTCTTCCTTCCTACTAAGATAACCTGTCTCTAAGGATAGTTTGTACCGAGAATGATCCATGTATTACCTGGTCTCTCTGTAAGAATGTAGCTAGTAGACAGAAGAAAATAAGGACTCTGTGCTCTAAGATTGCTTTCTAAGCATTTATATTTAATTTAATTTTCTTCTTGCTTGAATTATATTACAGGTGTGGGAGGAGGTAAGGGGGATTGAAGCATTTGTAGTAGAACTGTCCTGTACATCAAAGGTATTGTAGAGGTGTGACATTTCTAGAAATGTTTACAATCTGAGAAGAAGAAAAGTTAAAAATAGCACAAATTCTGCAGCAGACAAAAGAAACTGTATTATTTGGAGGGACATAGTCATACAATTATGATAGGAATATTTGGATATAGAAATTATTGTGTATAAAAATAAAATTCACAGAAGTGACTTATAATAATGTCTATAAAAATCTTCATAGAATAAACTTTTGAGGAAGAAACACCTTGTCTTCAATAAGATTTCACTCATTCCAAAAGAGAATATTTCATTGGATTTTTTTCCAGTGCTCCCCAAATTTCTAATTTTTCAGTAGGAAAATTTAAAAAAACGTTCTGTGGGAAATCCCCTCCCTATTTTTCTGTTTTCTCAGGCTTTCATGGGTGTAAAAAGGAAAAAAAATTGTAACAGCTAAAGACTTTAAATCATATTCATAACAGAAGTCAGTTTCTGAAAAATTGCCCTATACATAATTATTTCAAAATACTGGTCACAAACTCTTTGGGCATTGTGAATGTAGGTAAGGGCACATGTATATTGGCTGTACCAGCTTATCTTTATAGCCAGCTGATGTTTGGTTTGGTATATAAATGCTTGTTAGATAAAGACACAAGCAGCAAGGCTTGTGTATCCTTAGTGGTTTTGGTGGCCTGAACTTCTTATAGGCAGCAGCCATCTTCATCAGGGGCAGGATAAACTGTTTACTTACCAAATGTTTACCACCAGTCAGCCATAAGCTGTCTTCTAATAAGGTGTCTTATGTTTTATTAATGTTCCAACTGGTTTTATCTTGTCTTTGTTTTATGGCTTTTGTACATCGCCCAGGGCCCTGCTGTGGCAGGGATTGGGTGATTCATAAATACAATAAATAAATAATAAATAAAGTTATATTAAATAAATAAGTAGATTCAAAATTAGCTTATTGCCTTTGTCAAAGAAGATCCTGTGCCATTTGGTCTCTGTCTCACTGTTTTTTCTTATCAGTCATAGGCTAGGATACAAAGGTATATTTAGATGTCCTGGTAGTTGTGCGTACGTAGTAGAATTTTCCTCTCTGAATGGTAGAATGGGGGGGAAAGGTTTTACTCTGTTTCAAAAGTAGCTCCTCTTATGGCATTAAGTGTCTGGGAAAACAAGTATCAATTCCTCTTGGGCATTTGGACAAACTTGTGTGGTTCTTTGGGTACTGACCCACTAGCCTGCCTCTTCTTCCTGCTGCATGTAAAGTAACTGAACATGCCCTGTCTGTTTTTTAAAAAACCACTTTGTTGGGGGTTTAAATAGTTTTGCTGCTAAATTCAAAAAGGAATGTGGGCACTGGGTGAGTGAGCAGTGTATCTGCTGGCTTTTATACTGTATGCTATTTTTGAGTTCAGCAATTAATTAATGCTTATAATTCATGATTTCTTAATCCTGCTCTGTTGACTCAAAAAGTCAAATTATTTTTCAGTTTTCTTCATGTGAATTGAACCAGTAATTTTTTAGTTACAAGCCATCTCATTTTCTCATACTGAAGTTCCCAGTGTGTAATGCATGTAACTGTAACACTTATTTCTGCATCAGTTTTATGTGGATGGTGAAAAATAATCAAATTGACAACATAGTAGCTAAAGTGAGTGAAGCAAAAAGTCACAAAAAACTGAAAAGGGCATACATATATCTATATATCTAATAGCAAAGGCACCCCCTGTGTGCAGATATCTAAATCCGCACATTGGGGGCACCTGGGAGGCAGGGAGATTTTTCTGCACACTTGGGGCACTCCCCAGGTGTGCACAAAAATTTAAAAAGTTGAAAAAAGGGGGGCGATATTTAAATCCCCCCCAAAAGTAAAAGAGCCTTCCCTGCGCATGCGCAGGGAACGCTCTTGGAACTGCAGCGGGCTGGTGGTTGAAAGCCACTCAGGCCTCGCCGCAGGGGGAGGGGGAGGGAGGAGGAGATCAGCAGCAGCGGAGGAGGAGGAGACCGCCGGAGCTGTGGGAAAGGGGAAGAAGATCGGCGAGGCCCGGTGGCTGCAAGCTGCTTGGGCCTTGCTGCCAGAGCCGGGGGTGGGGGAGAGACTGGCGAGGCCCGGCGTCTACAAGCCACTCGGGCCTCGCT